CTTAACTGACTCAGAGCTAGCGGTCCTCAGAAATGGACATGCAGTGTGTCCCAAGAGTGCCTCTCCGTCCCTGCCCTTCTCTGGACCCGCCTCACGTTTTGAGGCCCAGCACAGTGCCAGCTCTGCCATGCCCTGTCCAGGCACCCATCCGCATTCCTTCTGTCCCTGGGCACCCTGGTTTCGTCTGGCTCCCCTGTCTCTTCTGTTTCCCATCCCCTGGTTCCTCCAGGCTTCATAGGCCTGGGTCACCTTTGTTTGTCTCGTGCTGCTCAGCCTGGTGTTGGCACTCAGTAAACATTCTTTTTTTCTTTTGAGTGCAGTGCCCCACTTGTGGGTCGTGTGGCCTTGAGTCTGCCATCTGACCTGACAGGCCGGCCCTGAGGCCTCAGCCTCTTGTGACAAGGGAGGCTCCCTGGGGTGCCCTGAGGGTGGAGATGAGCCCTGTCCCATCTGATCTTTCCTACTTGACTTTCTGCCAGCTGTCTGTGAGGTAACAGTGAGCTGATGAGTAATTTCTGAGCTTGTTATTGTGCAAATGTCACAGTTTGGCTCTTTTTATACTTTGGGGATGTGGGGGGAAAGCCCCTCGATTCCATGCCGTGGCAGCTCCATCCCTTTCTTTCCAGACCTGGGCCCCTTTATAGGAAATGGTGGCCATTTTCATTAGTATGGAGGCTGCTGAAGCAGCAATGATTGAGAAGCTGGCCCATGGGGTCTGTTGGCCTTGGCTGGATAGCAGTCAGGGCCCAGAGGGCTGGCAGGCAGGAGCCCATGGGACAGTGTCTGACCAGTGCTTCCTTATATGGGCGATGGGGCCCATGGATGAATTTGGGAGGTCTGTGTGATTAGGACACTGCCCTGGGGGACAGGAAGTCCACGGTGGGGGCAGAGGGGGAGCAGGCAGTGGCTGAAGACAGGGTTGAGTGCCCAGGCCTGTGGGAGGGCGGGACACAGAGGTGATCTGGGCTGAGCGGGGCTGTACACAGACCACCAAGGCTACAGGTCCTTCTGCCTTCCCGTCCAGAGCCCTGATGGACCTGAGCCAGGAAGAGCAGGTTTTTATCACTTTGTGATGGTGGATTTAGAGAAGAAACCCTTGAAACCACCAGGTTTTACCACACGCACTCTAGAATTCGATACTCACGGATTAAAAGTAGGGTCCTGGGCCGGCCGAGTGGTGCGATGGTTAAGAACTGGCTTGGGACGCCAGAGGGCCCCGGTTCGGATCCCACATATGAGGGCCAGTGACGCTGCCCTCTACAGCTAAGATGCTGAACGGCAGCTCGACCTGGAGTTGGGCTGCCCTGAGTCGCTGGCGACGGCATAGGCTGCAGCCCCTGTGGCACTGGGTTGCCATGGACTACCGTATGTAGCCAGCAGCCAGCGTGAGTGGCCAGCAGCCGCAGTGAGCGGCCGTCCAGAAGCTGGCGACTGATCTGCCTCACCCGGGAAGAGCGCAATGATGGTGCCAACTTGGGCCAGTGAAGCAACGTCCTCCACAACTAGACTGAAGAACAAAACGACAGCAACTTGTCTGTTCCCCTTCCCCCAATTCCCCAGCACTGTTCCCAGCCCCCAATTCCCCAATAAAAAAAAAATTTTTTTTAAAAAGTAGGGTCCTAACATCTCACAGTATTGCTTTGTGGGCAAGATGCCTCCTGCGTCTCTGGGCTCTGGTGCCCCTGGGCATGTCACATCCAAGAGGTTCAGGTGTTTCCACCACACCATACCCCCTGCAGAGATGCCCAGTGCTGTCCTGGGGTAGGGCCAGCCAGCTGCTTTCTTGTTCTCTGTAGCCCTTACCTGCTGAGGCCCTCTCATGAGCCCGGGAGCCGTTTCCCGGGCAGAGAGACCATGTCGACTCTCACACTATTTTACAGAGTTACCTTCTTGTCTTATGGCCGAGGCCTTGGCACCTGCTGCCTTCCGTGGGGCCGTTGGTCCAGGTACCAGGCTCTGTGTGGGGAGGGCAGGTGGGCTTATGGGAGGGAGCAGGATTCTCTATGGGCTACGGGTGCTCGTGTGGTGGGAGCTGCTGCTTGGTCCCTCATCCCCCCGGCAGCCGCACTGGAAGGCAGCCTGGACAGGGCCATACTCAGCGACCCAAATCAGATAGATATGCAGTCTGTGGTATTCAGGCAGCATCAGGTCCATTGCTTGTGGTGGATCCCAGGTGCTGTCACACCCCCAGACCGCTGTGGCTCCTTTGCCGCTGAACCACCCCCTCCCATTGCCTGTTACTCTGTGCGACCTCCATGAGGTCCACTCTGGTGGTGTCACTGTGCAGGGACTGCCTCCACCCTAGTGTCCATTCTCCCTGGCCATGGCCGCAACGGCCACCGAGAGGCTATGGTTGGAGCCGACTCGGAAGAGTTGCCAGTGGGCCACGAGGGTCCCTGAAAGTCTCCAGCCCTGGAGGTGGAACCAGGGATGGTCCAGGTGAGGGAGGAGCACCCTCTGATGGTCTATTTTGCAGACAGCTCAGCCTCCAGGATTCCTGCCCACCGGCTGAGGCTCTCGTGGTGGTAGCAGTCATTGGGAAGCTCTGGGGCCACCTTCAGAGGAAAATGAGGCTCTTTTCCATGTGCCTGTGACCCAGGCCACCATCCCTGACCCCCAGTCCTACACACCTGCTCAAGGAGGAGCCCCGAAATGAGCAGGGCAGGCACGCGCTGGCCGTAGAGGCCCGTGTCGCAGTGTCTTTCTGAAGTGGAATCGTTGGCATCAGCCCTGCCTTTAGGAGTGTCCCATGGAGGAGAGTCTGTTAGTCACGCTTTTGTGACAGTTTCTAAAGTGAGAAAAGGATCAACTTTTCCTCAGACACCTTTGGAGCTCTGAAGCAAGAGGCCCCACACATAGTCACCTTGCCTCAGAGTGAATAAAGGGAGGTTATCTTGTGACAAAACAGAACTTAAACTTGGCTTAGACCTGAAATGGTGACAGATCAGGGGTGGAGGCTACAGATGGCAGGAGGCATGCAACGCCGCTTTGGGGCTCCTAAAAGTGCCATGAACGCCATCTGGTTGTGGGTTAAAAAGACGCATGACCCACATGCCTCTAAAACCCCCTTTAAATGTGACCTGGATTGGGGTGAGCTGTGATCTCTGCTTTCTGGTCCAAGATTCACATTGGTGCTTTCTTCTTTGTAGGATGAAACAGGTGCCTATTTAATCGACAGAGATCCCACCTATTTTGGGCCCGTGCTGAACTACCTGAGACATGGCAAGCTGGTCATTAACAAAGACCTCGCAGAAGAAGGTGAGTTGAGAGCCGGATCTGGTGAAGGTGCCAGCCGGACCCCTCTTGAGTCCGAGCTGCCCTAGAGGAGCAGGCCCTGTGTGCCGAGGCCCAGGCTGGGGTCCATGCACTCCTGTTCCCTTCAGAAGTCCTAGGTGCCCGAATACCCTCACCTGCTTTCCAGCTTCCTCGCCAGTGTGTTCTATGAGGCAGCAGACGCTGGTCTCAGAGAGGTAAGAGGGCTGCTCAGCATCACCTCTTTCCCTCCTCCAGGAAGCAGAGACTCTTCAGAGCTGGGCTGACCCGTCAGGACCGCCATAGTAGAAGGGTCCCTGTAACCCTCACTGCCTGGCTGCGGGGTCCCCTTAGCTGTGGGCCTCTCCATGGACTCCCTCCTTCAAGTGTCTAGTTAATGATGCCTGAGGGTGGGGCTCTTCCCTTGGGCAATCGCCTGTTCTCACAGTCTGAGGGCCGTGTGTTAGGGACGTGCCTGCCATGTGAGTTTCCCAGGGGTCCCCCAGAGTCTCGGTCACCTCGGGTCTGCTCTTCCTTCAGGGCACCACCGTGTCATTATCACCACTTGAGTTCTGTCTGCATCCTCAAGCGTCGTGCTAAGTTCAGGCTCTGGTCACAGGAAGCGTTCGCCAGGCACAGCCCTATGGGCACCAGATCTGAGGCTGGCGCGTCTGCGTGCTCTGGTGTGGGCTTGGCTCCAAGCACCAGGGCGGTCCGGAGAGGTTCAGGGCACTGTCGCTCAGAGTGGACTCCGGCTCCCCTGCTCTACTTGCTTCCTGGAATGACCACCAGTACTGAACTGTGTACTTCAGTACCTCAGCTCTCACCACATCTTACTCAGTGTCTTTTCCAGGCCCCTGGACTCCTTTTTTTATGCACACATACTTGCGTGGTTTGGAGCACACTTTTGTGTGTGTACAGCTGTACAATTCTGGGCTAAGCTTCTCAGCCTGTTTTCAATGTGATTTGCTTAGAAAGGGGCACTTGATGTGACCAAGCCCCGCCGCCCAGCCTCGCCCACCTGCCTTCCCACTGGCCTCAGACAGAGTGCTTTCAGCAGAAAGGCTCATGGGCACCATTTCCTGGCTCTGCTCTTCAGAATATAGTGCTTGGAGTGTCCAGGTGGAAGAAAGATGTGCCTCTCAGGCCCCATGCTTGCCCTAAAGCTTCTGGTGCTCGTTTGCAGTGCCCCTCAGTCCTCACCCACTGGTCTGATAGGAAGGGCTGATGGCCACCGAGAGTCATCCTGAGATGCGACATTCTAGATGCAGCTTCCCTTTGGGTGGCCCTGAAGAAAAACTTCCTGCCTGGGAGGCTGCTGTTCGCCCCCACCCTTATCCTCTGTCACCTCGCCTAGAGACCTTGTTAGGAGGGGCCCGAGCAGGTCCAGCAGCCAGAGCAGGTCCAGCAGCCAGAGTCCACGGCTCTGAGCTCCCACTGCACAGAGTGGAGGGACCATGCCATGCAGAGCAAGGTCTGGCCAGGAGGACCGGACATGGCAGCAGAAGGCACACTCAGAACCTTTTGGAATACCCACGAGGAATCCCTGAAGCAGAGCCCCTCCTGTGTATTCTTCAGAATTCCTGGAGGTTTTGAGTCCCTAACGTGGTGCATTACAAGCAGCCATCTTTGGGAGGAAAGGAGTTCCTAAACTGGCAAGAGTCCTGGAACGAGGAGCCACTCTCTCAGCCAGTCACAGTCTAATGACTGAATCGGGAAACTGAGGTGCCAAGTGCCTCAGATTCGCACAGGGCTGCCTGGCTAGGCCGGAGCTTCTCGTGGAGGGGCAGTAGGAGGCGGCCAACCCAGGGTAGACAACTGCAGGCTATGGAGGGAAGAGCTGGCGTTCCATCCGTTGTGCCTAGCGTGGAGATCAGAGTCCACACACCGAGCTGTGTGTGCAGCAGCTGTTCTGTGCGCGAGCTCTGCACCCAGCAGGTCACCTTTGGGATTCATGCAAGAGTGTTCCGTAATCATGCTGTTCCCCCATCTGAGCCCTCTGTCCCTGGGAAGCCCCACTGACAGCCAACAATGTCTGTCTGCACCGAGTCTATTGGGGTGTTGGGGGGGAGCTGAGAAGCATTGAGCAGGCCGTGCACATCTCACAGGTCCACAGCAAGGCTGGGGTGAAACGTTTATTCTTGCATTTGAAAATTACAGTTATTTTTCTCAATTCTAGGAGTGTTGGAGGAAGCAGAATTTTACAATATCACCTCACTAATAAAACTTGTAAAGGACAAAATTAGAGAGCGAGACAGCAAAACATCACAGGTGAGACCAGTGACTAATGTGCCGGAAGCTTCTGAGGCCTGGTGCGTATGCACGGCTCCCGCCCCTCCCTCCCGGCTGACCAAGGGCCTCCTCATGAGGCCTCAGGATTGGGCTGTCCTATCGTGATGTGATGACCGTCTTCCTGTTATTGTCCCAGCGCCCGATGTCCTGCCCTCTAGGCACCTCCCGCGGTGCTACCAGCTGGCACCATGGAGGCTTGCAGGGCACATTCATCTAGCTCTGCCCAGCCTACCCTCAGGGAGTCCCACTCCAGTGGAAAAGGCAGGCAGCTGCCGAGGAGGAAAGGAAAGCCCCGTGAGGGTGAGGGGGTGGCGGGAACAGGGAGGCCTCTGAGGGTGAGTGAGTGTGTAGCCGTCTCGGGAGGGCATTACAGGCAGGGTGGGCAAGTGCAGTGGGCTATGGGCCGTGTGCTTGCCCATTGAGAGGGCCATTGGGGAGCCAGGGATCAAGAGGGAGAGCTGGCTCTGAGCTGGGGGCAGGCTGTGGAGGTGGGGGTCCTGCAACCCTGCTTTGGTGCAATGAGGACTCAGCTTTATTGGAAAAGCTGGGCTGACTCGGTTCTCTTTGTACCACCTTTGTGCCTGGCAGTGCCAGAGCCGGCACAGCCACGCTGCTGCCCATTAGGCCAGTGTTTGAAGTGGGCTGTGTTCGGCTCCTCTGTGAAGGGAGGTGCTGAGGGTCTAAGTCTTTGTCGCTGCGCCAGCTCTGCTCCTGGGCACAGAGCAATGCCTTTGCCCAGTGAGTTCCACTCCTTAGGAAGGCTGATGAAGCGGATGGTCCCTCAGAGCTGCCATTATTATCTGGCGTCTCAGTCCACTTAAAACTTTTTCACCCTCCCACCTCCCGTGGGCTTTCCCACTGGGCACCTGGCAGATTCTGAGCCAGAGCTCTTGGTCTTTGTGAAGAGGCCAGGCTGGGGGAGGGGTGTGCCTCAGTGACAGCCTGGGAGGCTGGACCACCCACCCGCAGAGGCCCCAGCCCTCTTGTGGGAGTCACTTTGGTGCCAGGGCCGTTAGGAGGAGACATGTCCACAAGATCCCTGGTCATCTCTGGCCAGTTCGCCTCACCTCCCCCGGCCCCCAAGCAGCCCCACTTAAGACCTGTGTGACCTGGGTGGGCCCCAAACCTGTGTGCCTCAGTCTCCCTTTTTGTACTGGAGATAGAGGAGCCCTTTGTTACAGGGCCTGCGTGAGGACTAGAGGGCTCAGGCTGGGTAGTGTGCCAGTGTTACTGTTTTCAAATGAAAACATCTACTTCAGGCTTTGACCCTGTCATTCAGGTGTCACGGGTATGAGTCAGAGAACAGCCTGGTGCTCCCTCAGCCCTTTCCCCCTGGTTACACGCGTGTTGTGTGTGGCGGCTGCCACCTCCTGCTGGAATAGCAGCTCCGCGAGGGCAGACCTCCCCAGGGGCTCGCAGTACCAGCGCCATGTCTGGAATGGAGCTCAGGGAAGGTCCAGTGGGTGGCAGGGTCAGAAGATATATCAGTTTTGGGGGAGCCAGTTCAGCCCAAGGGAGGGCTTCTGTCTGAGCTGCTGGGATGTCTGAAAGCTTTGCTGGGAGCAGGGGCGTTGCTCTCAGGCCTCCACGTCCATCCCTCCCAGCGGGTGGATTCAGGGACTTTGTGTGTGATTTCCCCCAGGGACAGAGATGGATGTCCTTGTGCATTTATGTCTAGACACAGGTGCTTGGGGCATTTTAAGAACATGACTCATTTTATTTTGGAGTTTAGAAATAGAAATATTTTTGGAGGCAGACGAGGAGGCAGAAAATGGCAGCTGTTCTAGCCGTTTGTTTTGTTGGGGTAGATTCGTTTGGGGCTGCTTTTGAGCATCATGACCTGAGTCCTAGAGGTGGGAGGAAACGTCAGCTTCATCGGGCTCATCGGGCCCCTTGTCCGACTGTCCCCAGAATCAGCACCTGGGGCGAGGTAGCCGGGTTGGGGCGGGAGCAGCAGGGTGTGTGGGGCCTGTCTCACCTGTGGCCCTTGTTCTCGCAGGTGCCGGTGAAGCATGTGTACCGCGTGCTTCAGTGTCAAGAGGAGGAGCTCACACAGATGGTGTCCACCATGTCTGATGGCTGGAAGTTTGAGCAGGTGAAGCACCCCTCCTCCCACCACCGCCCCCTGGGGTGACGTGAGCCTGTGGTGCAGTGGAACTTTTAATTACAAGGGCCCCACCTGGGTCCTCAGGGCTGCTGGCCCCAGGGACCAGTAATGAAGCACTGGGAGCCTGTGGTTCACTGGCTTCTCTCACAAACAGCAGCCTGCACCTTGGCGTTCGTGTGGGGAGGGAGGAGTTGTTACTAAAGAACCCCCCCTCCCTGGGGTCCTCACCCCCCCCCCCGCTTCCTCCCCATTTTTCTCTCTGCAGTTATCCTTGCTCATCCTTTTGGGGGGACTGTTCTCTGAGCTTCCATCTGCCGTCTAGCATGTATTTGGGTGACCTCCTGAGGGCATCCTGGCCTGGCCCTACCTCCTTGTTTCTCCCCATGTCTGTCCAGCCCCTCCCGTGCTGGCTGAGCAGATGGTGCCTCGGGCTCCTTAGTGCAGCAGGTGGCACGGATGCCCCTTTCCAGTGGGGCTGCTCTACGGCCCTGCAGCCCCTTTTCTGCACTTGACTGGAAAGATGCTGCTGATGCTGGCCCAGCTGTGCCCCTCCACTTTCCTCAGCTCTGCTGTCGCCTCAGGCTGGGACTGATGTGACAGTGTGAGTGCTGGGTCCTCTTCCCACCGCTCCCTCGCTCCATGCAGCTCTGCACGCTGTTCTCGTCCCATGTGGATGCGCTCAGTACCTGTGGCCTCAACACGTCAGGGTTGTCCTTAGTGGCCAGCACCTTTTCCACCAGCTCGTCATCGCTGTTCTACTTTCTTAGGCAGAGACTCTGTGGTTCAGGCTTGTGATTTTCCGGCCCCCAGCCCAGGGCACTGGTTGTGAAGGGTAGACACTGGACCTGCGACCCTAGCCCCAGATAGTGACCGCCTTGCTTGCTGGGGCCCCTCTGGCCCCTGGGAGTTGCCTCTGTTGCTGGCTTCCATAGGGGGCAGGTTTTGTCCATTGCAAGTGGTCCTGCCCAGAGAGAGAGTGGGAGTTAATGGGGTCACCCTAGCGCTCCTCCTAATTAAGTCTACTCCTTTGCTTTGGGTCTTTTGAAATAATAGATTGCATTGTGGAGTGCTTGGAGTCCCCTTAAAATGTCACTAAAGACAGGTACAGTCAGCATTTGTGTCCCTCCCTGCACCCTGGGACTAGCCACTAGGGCAGTTCTGTGTGTCCTGCTCTCATGGTGTCACAGCATGCCCTACCCTGCCCTTGTCCTGGGGTGGCCCAGTAGGGTCCTGGGCCCTACAGGTGTGTTACTCGTGCTCTGACCCCATTAAAATCCAGCCAGAGACTCGCGCAGGAGCAGCGGTTTCCCGCTGCCCTCCTTTGTCCCTCGGCATATAGCCTGGGCAAGAGCTGGGGAAATGGGAGCTGCTGTCACCAGTTCAGGATCTTTAGTGGAGCTAAGTACGGCTGTGGCCCCTGCTGGGAGGGAGAGAGCACCTCCTGCCTCCTGCACGGGCGTCTTCTTCCCCATGACCAGCTTAGGGACTTCGTCCTTAGCTCCTCTGAGTGGATCCCAAAGCCAACGAGAGAGCAGAGTCCCCTCTTCTCAAGCCTTACGTGCTTTGCTCAGTTTGTCACTGGGGGACATCCTCCTCCTGGGTCATGCCAGCAACGGCCCAGGGCCAGAGTCATGTTTGCTTAATGAGAAATGCTCTACTCTCAGAAGCAGGAGCTGGACCTGCCTATGGCAGGGGACATGGAGTGGCAGCCTGGGCCCAGCGAGGTGACCCAGGCTCACCCAGTGGTCAGAGATGAGGCCAGAACAAAGTTCCAAGCGAGGTTTGGAAGAGGCTGGCGTGCCTCATGAGAACATGGCCTCTGGGTAGACCCGATTATAAGTGGCTGCACACCCACCACCCAGTCTGCATTCAGGGCTGGCACCCCTGTGGTTTGGAGGTGGCAGGGCCTAGCTCCTGAGGGGCAATTGTGAACCTACAACAGACTCCCGGAAACACAGGGAGAGCACGTCTGCCCCTTCTCTGTGGCCCCCTGTGCTCTCCCCACCCCTGGCCATGCCGGCCTCAGGACTCCGCACATGTCCCTTGCTTGGCTGCACCCACCGCCCTCTCCTCATCCTTCCCATGTCTCTGCATGCAGAGCACCCACCCTTGGCCTCTCCCACATGCACAGATTCATCTGTAAAGAGGCCGGGGAGCAAGGGGCCTTCTAGGTGTTGGTTGGTGTGATAATTATGGCATTGATGGCTTTATTGCAATTTCAGTGGTTTTCTTTTGATTAATTTGGCATTGAAAAGCACAAGTCTTTGGTGGCCCTGGGGTAGTGGGCAGGTCAGCTCTCAGCCCCTGCATGGCCTGGGTGCCCCCGGTGATGTGGACCCACACAGACTGAGACTGACACATGCAGAAGCCACAGCTGTCCTAGCATCTGTCTTTGAGATTCAGGCAGCTCTGCCCTCAGCGGCCCACCTCCTCCCATCTTCCCTTCCGCTACCAGAGCTTGTCCTTGTGTGTGCTCACACGGTGTGTGCTCGGGGCCTTTGTGAAGGGAGCAGCTGGTATGCCAAACTCTGCGATTCTGCTGCTTGCTCAGAGAGGACGAGTTCTAAGCATGCCGCCCTGGCCCTGCCCCACTCCTTACCCTGCTTAGCACTGAGCCCCTCTCTCCCTGTGGTCAGTCAGCATCCCCTGTGGGCCTAGAAACCCTAAAAACAGTCACCCATCCTGCAAAGCAGGCCTGTCTTGCATGAGGTGTGCGCGTGTGGTAGTGTTCGGGTGTCAGTGTGTATGTGCCCGAGTGTGGACTTTATTTCCCGTAAGTTCATTAAAACTCTCTTGGCTGAAACCTGTCCCTTATCTTCCTGAGTGTCGGCTGTCGTGGCTGTGTGTTTTTGCAGGCTGGCACTTCCCTCCTGGTGGGTGGGCTGGTCCTGAGCCGGATGCACATGTGACTTTCCCCACATCATACCTGTCTTCTCCCCTCCCAGCTGGTCAGCATTGGCTCTTCCTACAACTATGGGAGTGAAGACCAGGCCGAGTTCCTCTGTGTGGTCTCCAAGGAGCTGCACAACTCCCCATACGGCACAACCAGTGAGCCCAGCGAGAAAGCCAAGGTGGGTGACTGGGCTGGCAGACCGGCAGCACCAGGGCTTGTGAGGGCAGAGGGCACCCTGCAGTGCTGGGTTTTTCCACCCCAGAGCTTTATCGTTTCTCGTTGTTCTGGTCACGCTCCCTGCTGCACAGGCTTCCTGGCAGTGTGCTCACCTGCGCTTCTTGTCCCTCATCACATAATTCCTGCCTCATGTGCCAGAATCAGAGCCCTATAACAAAGGACATGTATATCCCTCGGGATGTGGGTGGTGCAGCAAGGGGTCTTTGCACTTGGGCTCCCCAAAGAGCAGCTCCCTGAGGCTTCCCCAGCCCATGCACTCCGACAGCCCTTCTAATGGGCAGAGATGCTCCTGGAAGTGTTGTGGCTGTGCTTTTAAGTGATGCCACCATTGTGGGCCGTTTTCCTGGGGATTTGGGAGCGTGGAGGCTGCAGGGTGGGTCCCCTGAGCAGTACCTGCCTCAGCCACACCCATCCTGTACTGGGAATCGAGGTTGGTTTGTAAAAAGAGTGGGTCTTGCAGGTTCTATTATTTAGACTCTGCAGAGCATTGCCTTGGCCCAGCACTGGCCAGTCCTTGTGTAAACTGGCACCACTCCCTGATGGGCACTGGCTCTTCTGTCTCCTGGGGAGGGCAGCGCAGCCAGGGCGAAAGTGGAACTGGCATGTCATTTGCTTTCAGGTTAGCCCCGTGGCAGGGAGGGAGCAGTGGCTGGCCTTACCCAGAGGCAAAACTTTCTAGTGGCACCTCCTCTGGGCTCGTTCCTGAGGTCAGGGATTCCAGGACACACAGCCCAGCATTGTCCTGGACTGGCTCCACCTGGCGGGACTTTCAGACCTTCAAACCAGGTGGCGGCCAGACAGCCCTGCATCCAGCTGTAAGGGGGCCCTCGGGGTCTGCGAGGTCTTGGCAGAGCTGGGGAGGTGAGGGTGGGACTCTGTGGCAGCCCTGGTAAAGGCTCAGGGTATTGCCTGCCAAAGGGTATTTTGAGTGAGTGTAGGAAAAGGCCAGAGCTAGAAGGATTTTAACTGATGACATTCAGCCGGGACTCCCAGGGCTTCCTCAGACTCGGTTGGAATGGCTTCTGGCTGGCCACCAACTGCCCACAACTGCCCCTGCGAGCCTTTCAGAGTCGTCTTTGGAGGGTGGGCTTGGGCAGCGTTACCACGCCCACCGGCCCTCCCAAAGTGGCCACCTCTACCTGCTTGAGATAGCTTTTGCCACCACAGTGTGAAGAAGTCTTGTGTCTTCACACCTGGGTGATTGTCCATGTCCCAGGCCTCCAGAGTCCTCACGTCCCCACCCTGCCCTCCTGCAGCTGCTCAGGACAGGACAGCACCCTGAGGGGTCCCTATGGTGTCTGGCAACAGGCAGGCATGCTGGGGACCAAGGAGTCCCAGTGCGGCCCTGGGGATGTGCTTCCTGTAGAGTCTGGGGTAGAATGGGACACCACCTCCCCGGGAGCCCCCAGCCTCATGAGGAGGTGCACCTCTCTCTGAGCAAGCGCAAGGCTTTTGTAAACTGTTTATTTTTAGAAGCTTTTATTTCTGAACTTGAAAAGTTTTCATGTCTGAGCTCACCAAGGCAGCTGCCCAAGCTCATTCCCCTCAGGTGGCTTTTCAGCTGCAGAAAGGATGCATCTGTGCTATGAGGGAGCTCCCGGTGTGATCCCAAATCGCTTTGCTGTTGAGAACGTGACCCTATTTCTTCAAAAATAACCTGGCTCTGAATTGTGAGGGCCACAGCGACTCCTAAACGGGGCAGAGCACGGTCCAGGCCACAGAAAATGTTTGGGGCAGGATTGGGGATGGTGATTTGGGGGTACCCATGTGCAGCCTGGTTGGAGCAGTGCTTCGTGTTCTGCGGGCAGCAAGTGTCACTGCCGTAGACCTGCTCACCGGGTGCCCTGCAGCACGTGATAGCCTCTTGGCACTGACGGACCAACCTCCTGTCTCCGGGTGGAAGTGGCAGGAGAGAGTGGGCAGGGGTGGGGTCACTCGGCGAGGGGAATGGTCCATGCAAGAGCTGCGTCCGCCACCAGCTGCAAGTTTAGGGCCTTTCCCAACCACTCTCCGATTCCGTGGTTTGCCAGAAGGACCTGCAGAATTCACCGCTGTTATGCTCACAGTTGCAATTTATTACAGGAAGTACTGAGAGGGAGAGTTTAGATGTGCCAGGGAACCCGCCAGACTCGGGGCTCCTTAGTTTGTGCTCCTGTGGAGTCGGGATGAGTGGCCACATGCTTGGAACATTGACCATCAGGGTGCTCCCCCAGAGATTTTACTGGGCTCGGTCACATAGACATGATTGATTGGTTGATTAATCGATGATTGATCGCCCATTTGCCTAATTGCAGTCTCCAGCCCCCCCTGGCCAATTGACGCAGCCCCCATCACATTGTCTGGTATGGTGGAGGTCACGACCTCCCAGGATCCGAGGGCAAAGGCCAGACTGCTGTTAGAGCAAGGTTCAGTTCTTCACTGTGCACAGGGAAGGAAAAGTTTGGCACTTTGGGGGTGCCGGGGCCCAGCAACAGTGGGGCAAGGGAGACACCTGAGTCTTGTGTTCCTTCATGGTACGATCTAGGCATGTGGGTGTGGGGCCCAGGCCCCCAAGATGAGGCTGGTCTGTGCTTTGCTGACAACACCACGGGACTTCCTGGCCCCGAGTGCTGTGGTCACAGAGGCCTCTGGACGGCCTTCCCTCTGCTGCCCCCTCACCTCACCCTGCATTCACGGTGTCCTCTCTTCTTCTCCTCCCTTGCCGCGTGCTATGTGCCGAGCCAGAGTGACGACGAGGAGACGGGTCACGATGAGAATGACTCAGATTAAGTGTAAATGTCCTGGTGAGCTCTGCTGCCCTTGCAATGGACCCCGTACTTTAGTCTCCTTGACCCAGCCTCTCCTCTGCTGTGTATTTTTCATGCCTGTAGTTGACAGAGAACCTTCCATGTTAGATGCCAGCTGTGTAGATCTGCAGTAGAGCTGGCAGGTCTGGGGGCGGGACTGTCTGTCTGTCCCCTTTAGGATACCCATGGGGGTGGGATTCGGACCTTGGCTGGGATGTCTGAGAGCCCTGTGTGTCAGCCCTCCTCGCCATGGGTGTCAGTCGGCGAGGACATGGGCCTGAATTTCCTGGGGGCCAGGCCACCCCCATCCTGCCAGCTTTTCCATCCTGTCACCGGGCCATGGGCTGAGGGCCGCAGAGTCGGGACTGTGTTGCAGAGGCTGGACCCTGATCCTCAAGCCAAAGGCCGCAGCACCCCTGCTCCCTGGCGCCTTGTGCAAGGGATGCTGGTGGACTGTCTGTATGGTCCCTTCTTCTGTTTGCCCTGTGATGGGAGACTCGGTCAGTGCCCCCTACTGCTCCTCATGTCCGTCACCTCCCAGCTTCTTCTCATTGCCTAGACTGATAGTCCTAGCTGGTTCTAGAACCCCACTATGTTCTTCGTTAGCGGGAACCACCTGGCCTGTTCTCTCATCTTGCACACAGGAAGTCGAAGCCCAGAGAGGGCAAGTTGCAGGCAGACAAGCCAGGCATCATCCGGGGTCTCTTGCTCCCACCAGGGCCTTCCTCCTGGGCTGAGACCTGAGGTAGGGACCCTCAGCTGTCACCCTGGGAGCAGCATGGAAAGGTGGGAGGCCTGCTGAGCAATGAAAGGCCAACCCTCCGGTCATGAGAGGGCTAGACCGGGGGCTTTTTTTTGCCTCTTGATCCACAAATCCTAAAATATTTACTATCTGGCCCTTTAAGAAAATGTTTGCCGAGTGCAGGTCTGGACCAGCTGTCAGAGCCCAGGGGACATGCAACACAAGCTCCATCTGTCCTTTTAAACTTTCTAGCAGCCACATTCAGTAAGAAATGTGAAATTGATGCTAGTACTGTTAACCCAGTACATGCAAAATGTTGTCATTTCAATCTGGAAAATCATTGTGATACTTTTCTCACTTCAGAGCCTCTGAAATCAGGCATATAGTTCACATTTGTGGCCCTTCTTGGTTTGGGGTGGCCACATCTTAGTGGCTCAGCAGCATGTGGATGACAGGCAGAAGGCCCCGGACTTTGGCCTGGCCTGATGGTGACCCATGATAGGAACTCGATTGGGTGCTAGGGGAGCTTGCGTGAACTTGGAGGAGCCACACCTACTGGTAGGCTGCTGGGTGCTGGCACTGAGCCACTATCCAGGAGTACAGAGGGGGCTTCTTTCAGCCCCCCTCCCCAGTCACTTATTGATTCTGCATCTGCTAGCTGGAGCTGCTATGGAGGCCTCACTCGGGTCCAGGCTGGGGGAGGGGTGGGTGCGTGCTGATCACAGAGCAGTCCTGGAGCTCCAGTGGCCACCGGACCCTCCTCAGCCCATCTTGGGGTGCTGCTCATAGTAGCCTGCCCTGATGAGAGGTGGCCCAGATGAGAGCCCTGTCCAGGGCAGGTGGGGCCATGACTGTCACAGTTCCTTGGAGGATTCTTATGTTCTCATTAGGAGATCATTGTTGGGGCTTCTGCTCTGACAGAGCAGCCCCTCCTGTACTGTCACCTTGCTCCCAGGCCAAATTCCTGTTGTGTGGGCCTTGTTTCCACCACTTAGTCCTTCAAACTCTGCTCTGCTGGGCTCCCACAAAGTGAGGGCAGCTCTGTGCATCATGTGACCCCACACGCCCCAACTTTCCCTGCAAACAGCAAAGATCAGGGGCCGACAGGCCCTCCTGGGGCTGGAACTAGCACCTAGGCAGGAGGAAGCTACAAGGGCTGAGCGAGGACGCACTGTCAACCCGAGTCCCCTTCTTAGATCACGTCCCTCCGACAGGGCCTCCCAGGCTTTCCCAGCGAATCCTAAACCTAGGGGCTTGCCCTGGTCTGGCCTGAGGAAGGGTGTGCAGTCTGGTGTACAGCGGGGTGTACGCTTTGCAGGGACTGCAGCTCAGGCTGTCTGAGTGGCCCCAGAGCTCTCAGAGACTCGGGGGGCCCAGGCCTGGTGGCCAGCAGGGATGGAGGGGTGGCAAGGGATGGCTGGAGCAACTCCTGAGAACTTGCGCTTTCTAGAGAATGAGCCCTGGGTGACCGTGAGGGACTGGCCATTCTGTTGTGGGCAGCCACCTGGCTGGTGAGCGGGAGGTCTTGGGGCCAGCAGGGTACTTGCTGCGAGTCTGAGAACTTTGCCTGCCGCCTACAGGGCTATATTGGGAAGCAGTGAACTTCACTCCAGCCAGAGTGTCCATTTGGATCTGGACCTGGCGTAAATAGGGCTGGCCCTCACGGGGCACGTCCCCTATTGCACCTGGACCCAGGGCTCAGAAGCACACAGTGTCAGGAATTGTAGTTCAGTTCAGAAATTCAAGAAGAAAACGCCCCCGGGTAGTTCACTCTTACACTGCTGATGAGATCCCAGGGAGTGTCATCTTACAGGCCAGGTTGAGACCTCTCTGTCCTGGTTACCTGGTGCTTAGCAGCCATACTTGATGTATGGAAATGGAACTATTTGCCAGCTCCGAAGCCCCCTCCTGGGGACACACGGTGGTCCTGCCCCCTCTATGTGGCCTCTATAGGGTTCGACCGCAGGTGCTTGGCAGTGTGTAGGGCTGTCCCCAGGTGGCTCTGGGCCTTGAGGAGCTGCCAGCACAATTTGGAGGGGGATGGGATGCACAGATAGGATGCACAGTGGTGAGAGGGGGGCCAGGGTAGAGTGAGGGGCTGCTCTGGCCCTGAGATGCCAAGGAGTGGGAGGGAGCGGGGCGGCGGACTCTGCAGGGCTGGCAGTGGGATTGGGTGCATGTTTCATAGAGTCCTGTCTGGCTCCAGCAAAGAGGAGGCTGCCACCCTCGGGGTAGGTGGTCGAGTCACAGGGAGGCCACGCCCTGTGCAACAAGACGTGAGCCCAGCCGGGCAACGTGCAGGGCAAACTGGCGGGGATGGGGGTTGGGGCAGTCCCGGGGCCCAGGCTCTGGGTTGTGAGACTGGATGCAGGGTGGAGGATATATGGTTTTCAACTGGCAGGAAGAGGGGCAGATTGGGGTGCGGTCTCTGGGACCCCACAGTCCCCAGTCGTACACATGTGTCTGGCCCAGGATGGAGCTAGTCTGGAGAGATACTCAGGAGTCAGTGCTCGTCAGGTGGGTAGTTAAGCCCCCAGTCGGGCTCTGGGACTCTTGAGAGGGGAGCAGGAGGCAGCCATCTGAGGAGATGCTGCCGGGGCTCTCTGAGGTCTGATGAGGAGCTACACCCCCTTGGGCCATGCCTGCATGTTTCGGGCCCTCTGGAGGAAGCCCATGGAGATGCGGGTCGGACATGGGGGGCATATCTTTCTGACATCAGGTTGGGATGAAGAGTGGAGAGAGTTGGAGGAGCCAGCCCCTTGTGTGGGGCCTTGAGGTGCTCGAGCCAGCCCCCCACGAGAAGGTCCGTTGGGCCAGGCCGCAGCCTGTTCTCAGACCCTGGCAGGTGGTGCTGGCTCCCTCAGACCCCTGAGCCAAGCCACCCATAGGCCAACTGAGGCCTGTGGGCCCAGCTCCCCAGAGCCAGGCACCTGGTTCCAGGGCTGTGTAGCTCCCAACTCCCTGTCCAAGACCCAAGTCCTCATTCTCTGCATTTGGCATTTTCAGATCTTGCAAGAACGGGGTTCAAGGATGTGAGGAGCACAGTGTTGGCTGCTGAAGAAATATTTTACCTTTCCCAAGATGCAACGTGCCGCCATGTTGAGGAAGCTTGGCCGTGAGAAGAAACCTGCTTTTGACAATTTCTCTAGAGATCTGGGTGTGAATCTTTTTTGCCTCTGCGGTGGGTGGTGAGAGACAGGACCAGCAGCCCAAGGCTGGGCTTCCCACAAGGAGCTGGTGTGCTGATCAGGTGGACGTTCCTGCGGGGTCCTCTGCTGGGTTTTCCAAGCTGCACAGCCTGAGGCAGGATGCTCCCGACTGACCCCTTTAACCACAGAAGATCATTTAAAGGACAGTGTTCTTGGTGCTACATGAACAGCCTGTAACGGAGCCTGGGTCTCACTGGTAGAAAGTGGCCGCAGTGCTGTGGCCCTGGGCTCTGGGTGTTCAACCCCACCAGGCCCTGGTCCTCGGGTCTGGGAGTCATGCCCAGGTGTGATCGGTTGTCCGTTTCTCACAGCCTTGGGCAGCTTTTGACAGAGGTGGCCTCTGTGTGTTCACTACTTCCCGAGCCTCCGCCCTGAGGCTGGGCCTCCTTCAGAGCCGCGCTCCCCCAACCTGATCCAGTCGAGAACAGTCAAGGCTTCTCCATTTGTATTTTCCAGGCGAGAGACCTTTGCACCCTTTTTTTCCCCAGTGTGGATAGACTTCCCAATGTTTTTACTTTTTAGAAATGCCTAAAAGTGTTGCTGCATTTTGGGTTGATCTGTTAAGTCATTTAAAGGGAGGTAGAAGTTTTGTCATGTCTGTCCCACCCACGGGTTCGTAGGGGAGCTGGCGCCTGTCAGTCAGTGCCTTTGTCTCGCCTGGGATGGAGGGCAGGGTGGGAGGCCTGTCCACCTGACTTTTGGAGCTGACACTCCAGGTCACATTGAAAATTGGATGTTTACAGCGCATCACAAATATTTCTCTTTCTTGCTGGCTCTTTTCGTTTTCTTTGTACAACTATGCAGTTCTCTTTGATATTTCTGGGATGTTTGAGACTTCACACACAACCTGCATGGGCTCTGCCCACCTGACACGACATTGGAGCTACTAGGATTTCTTTAAAACCTGCTGTCCGCATGCTTTGAGAACAGACCTTTCTGAGCTGGTCGTGGAGACGGTCCAAGTCTGGGGGACCTGGCTAGGAGGAGCAGCTCTCTGCTTCCTGACCTCGGGCTTCCCTGGGGAGCTGTGCACACTGACACAGGGGCTCCTGACACGTTGGGCGGAGGCTCTGATACGTCTAGTTTCCAATCCTTCCGGAGCCCTTTTCTCCTTTGCCAATAACCTGATTAACCAAGTTCTCTAGCACCTAGGACTTACCTCCTCCTTTTTGTAAGGTCTGTTGTATGTTGTTAAATGTTTGGCTTTAACCATTTATAGCAACCTTTCTATAGGGCACATTTAGCCCCTGGTTATTTGTTCTGCCTGTGGAACCCTGGGAGGAGGGCGGCCCTTGCTGACCTCGGGGTGTACCTGTGGGGTGCTGCTGGCCGCTTAGCGTCGTTTAATTTGTGACCTTGACATTATAGATAGGCTTGTGGTGTTTTTTTTTAATTTAAAGATATTAAGACTTAATTCACTAAAATTTATTCTAAGGGGATATTTATACTTTTATACTTTTTTAGGTATCCGTATTTTATCAGCTTACAGTTTAATGCCTAAGTTTCCCCTGAAAATAGCGAATAAAATTGTGTATTTATGAATGAGCAGAGCAATTGTTAGTGTCTTAAAATGCATGGAAAAGGTCTTGGCACCTGGGCCATGGTCAGTGGCCAGGGTGGGGCCAGACCATCCACCTGTCACTGTCTGACCTGAGGGATTAGCACAGCACACACCCATCTCTCACCTTGGCCAGGCCAGCCCTGGTCGCCTCAACTACCTCTTGCTGGCGTCATGTCCCCATTCCCAGGAATAAGATCATCTTTAGTGACTTTGTTTTAAAGTACAGTAAAACCGTGTTTTACGAGTGTTCTGCAAGACGAGCAAACATTTCTGATACATTTTAACTTGGTAAACAAGCGATGTCTTGCAATATGAGTACGTAGTTTGTTTCCAGAACAAGTTATGCTCGCAAACCAGGGTATTACTGTAGTTACTCCTCATCAAATTAAGCATGTCCACCTACCTGTCCTGTCTCTAACTCTGGCCAGCAGGATCAGCAGCACATTCCTCTAAATCCCCACCCCCACCTTCCTGTAGCCACTCTGGCTTTTCCTGGTGGCTGCTCTGTGAAAGCTCCTGGGATGCCCTCTGCACTTCGGGGAAATTCCTGTTCCTGTGTCCCCTGGAGAGCTCTGGCTCCCTGAGGCTGGCTAGACTGTCCTTGACCTCAAGATGCTGGAGTCTCCGGCTTCCCAAACTCCCGGCCTTGTTGGAGTGTCTGTCTTGTTTCCAGGTGTGTGGCCGGACTGGCCAGGGGCCCAGGGGTCCTCAGGGGTCACTGTTTTGCCTTCCCAGGCTGGGGGTGGGAACTGCCTGCTTGGGGGCCGGGCTCTTGGACACTTGGGGTACAGCCCCGGGTAAATGGGGAAGGACTCCAAGTTCTGCTCTGAGGAGTTTGCTTTCCAAACAGACTACACTTGGCATCTTCCAGCTTCCTGATGCCAACAGTGAACCTGGACATGCCTCCAGTTGCCTCTGCCAGGCGGGTACTCAGGAATGGCCCCAGAGCATCTCGGGTGTCTCCGTGAAAGCCCTGAGCTTGTCTCCTATTCAAGCAAAGGACTGGAAAGAAAACAGCCCTCTAATCTGGGTCCTGAGGCTAAGAAGGTAGCCCTGACCCTTGGACCCTGTGCTCCAGGCACAGCCTGCCTGCCGTGGGGGGGTATGGGGAGGGGCAAAGGACACAGTTCTCAGGGCAGCCTCAGGGCCACCAGCCCTGTAGCTCCAGGAAGCCACTAGGCAGGGCAGGAGAGGAAGGCGGGCATTTGACATGTGCAGGCTCCCTGCATGGGCCCCCAGCTGCTGGGCCTCCTGCAGAGCCCATGCCTGGAACATTCCAGGGCCCTGCACAAGAACAGGCACCGCCCCTTGTCACCTCACCTTGTTCCTTCTCTTCCCTGCATTTACTTGTGTCCACCCAACAGGTGCTTCTGGCATCTTCTGTCCTCCCTGGAGCTGGTGGCAGTGGCTGGCTGCTACCCCACTGCCCATCGGTCACTGAGCCCAACTGAGGCAATAAAGGACTGAGCCTACAGTGCAGATGTGTGCCCTGCAGATGTGATATACAGTCTGTATATCCAGGCCTGGGGGGCACTGAGACCCAGGTGCCTCGCAGCCTGTGGATCTGGCATCCTTCAGTAGAAGCAGTGCCTTCCACCACTTTTGGAGTGAGCTGTGCTTCCCTGAGACAAACCACAAATCTGGACACTGATGCACAACCCCCAGGTCGGGAGGAGGGTCCCCGGTTTGGGGGCTTTGATTTGTACCCCCTCTTTGCCTTTCCCTCCTTCATGCCTCCTGGCTGCCTTGCCTTCTGAGCACCTGAGCTCTGGGTGGTGGCATCGGGCCTGGGGCTCAGCTCAGGGCACAGAGCCTGCCCTGTGACGTCAGAGCCGTGGCTAACCTCTGGTCCTTGAGGCTAGAGGGTCCTGGCCCAGCAGTTTTCCTTCCTGCAGCTCCCATGAGCTGATCATTATGCTTATGTGTGTGTGGGTGTGTGTAGTGTGTGCGTGTGCATGTGTGCATTTCTGGGCTTGGCTGTGGGTCCCAGGAGGGGTGTCTGGCCCCCTCCTCTTGCTTGTTCTGTAGGCTGCTGTGGTTGCTACGAGGTGGGCCTTTTATCATGGGCCCCTGCCCAGGGCTGGGCCCACTGCCCCTCTTTAGGGCAGTCTCTGCTTCTTCCTGCAGCTGGCGGGGCCCTGGCGCCACCGCCCACCCACCTGGCATGGCTCTGAGGTGCTGCTTGACGGCAGTGTGGAAAGTTGTGTTTGAGCTGCGCCTCTGCCCAGAGTGGAGAGGGGACTCGTGACAGCTGGGGGCATGTCTCTCCTTATTACCTCCTCTCACAACACTAGGCTTGCCGTGAACTATGAATGGCACGAAATAAACCTGCTTTCCCTTTTAATCCCCTGGTCTCTGTGTTTGCCCTTCCTCTCTGCATTCCCTTCCTCTCCACGGCCATCTGGTTGAGCATGTGCCCTGGGTCTGGGCAGGGACAGTGTTGGGGAAGCCCAGGCGTCAGGGAACTGTGCCCTAGAGTCACGTGCTGGCCACCACCTTGGATGGGGCAGTTTGTAGCAGCTCAGTGGCTGTATGGGGACCCCAGACTCTCCCTCCCAGCCCATCTGGGTGGGGCATCACTGGGGGCCAGGCTGCCCTAGCATCTGCCTCTCCTCCCTGTTAGCCCCTTGGGACCTAACCAGACCCCTGCCCTGTAGCAGGAGGATAAGGGTATGATAGGGGACCCCAGGGCACCCAGAAAGCTGGGATAGCAGGCAGGAGGCGGAAGAGATGGGATGGAAAGTCCTTCTCTGAGGGGAGCCTGGTCCTCGCCCATGTCCAGGCAGTCAGGCTTCATTCTGGTTTCCCCACAGAGGCTGCAGCGGGGCCTCCCTCCAGAGACCTCCTAATCTCTAATCACCACCCCCCACCACAGGGCCTGAGGCTTTTTATAGCCCCAGAGCAGAGTGGAGGGTTCGTCCAGGCCTCTCCAAGGCTGCGCGACCCAGGCCAGCCACTGCTCCCAGCCAGGATGACCCAGAACTTGTCCCTGGGGCTGCTCTCCGGACACCCCCATCCTGTTTCCACACCGCAGCCCCCTGCCTGGGCCTCGGTGTATCTGCTATCCCCTGAGGGACGTGGAGCCCATCTCTGGTCTAGAGAAGAAATGCAGCAGCCAGCCCAGTCGCCAGAGGGCCACGGAGCAGCCAGCAGGGAAATGGGGCCCCTGTGTGCCTCTGCCAGTTGCTGTGTCTCCCAGGCCTTCCTGCCTGGAGTCAGGGATGAACTGGGCAAAGTGGAGCACAGGGGGGAATTTAGTATTTGTCCCCACTCTATCCCCAGGGCCGGTCCACAGCCGGTGCTGGCTAAGTGCTTATTGATTTATTCCGTAAAAAATATCCAGGCCGGTTTTCTTCCCAGCACCAGGCAGGCAAGCTGTGCCTGTGTGTACACAAGCAAGTGTGGGCATGTGTTTCTGTGTGCATGTGTGGGTTTCTGTGTGCATGCGTGGGTTTCTGTGTGCATGCGCATGTGTGCACTGGTATGTAAGTCGATATGGGCGTGCATGTATTATGTACTAGTGAGTATGTGCATGGATGTGTGGACGTTTGAAGGCATGGGTGTGCACACGTGTCTGCATGAATGTGCCTGTGTGATGTGCTAGGGAGTGTGTGCATGTGTGTGTCTGCAAGGAAGCAGTAGACATATCCCTGCCCTCCTAGGAGTCTTGTCCAGTTCACGGTTGCTGAGCAACGCAGGTAAGCCCAGGTACCTTTTGAGAATCAGCCCACATGGGGTGGGGAGCTGACTGGCTGCAGAAGGGGCCTGCCGTGGACATGCTTGGGCCAGCCTGTGAACCTCAGGCTGCCCCATGGGTGTCTGTGCCATCACCGCAGGGCCAGAGCACCCTGGGGACTTAAACTCCAGAGACCCGTTTATGCTGGATTCCTGGTGGTGACAGGCCAAAACAGGGCACACTGGGAAGGAGGGGTGGGTCTAAGCAGATTGTGTGGGGTTGCTGATAACAGGTTGAGGCAGGAGAGGGTGGGGCTGCAGAGCTGGGCCCAGGCCAGGCAGTAGGCCTGGGGAGGGGGCTCCATAGAGAATTCTGGCTCATTTCTGAATTCTAGGGGAGGGGAGGGTCTTTGTACAAACCATTATAGACACCAAGTCTGACCTGAACCTTGAACACTAGAAATAGGAAGAAAGGGGTCCCAGCCCAGGGAATTGCCAGAGCCTCAGCCTCCATGGTCCCCAACGGCCTGGGCCTTGCCTCCTCTGTGTGACACCCGACATAGCTCAGAATGTCCATGCAGTGTGTGGACCAGGTGAGACCACGATGGTCCCTGCATCCCCCAACTTTGGGGAGGTCCAGCCTCCTGGGGCATTGGGTCTGTAGGGCCCCAGTGGAGCTGTGCCCAGGCAGTTTTGAGAGGGGGGTGTGGCGCCTAGAAGGGAGGTGGGCACGCACAGGAGCTCAGAGAAGGATCCATATCATTGCCTCTCCCTGCCGCACCTTCTGGCACAATACCTACTGGGGTACCCCTGAAAAGCAGGTGGGGGTGCCATCCCGGGTTACAGGAGAGAAACAGGCTGAGAGGGGGCAGTGATTCCCCCATGCTTCACAAAGCCCTCCTCCTCCATTCTTTCTGTCACTGTTCCCCTTGGTGACACTTAGGGTGAGGGCCTCGTTGGCAAGGACAATGAGCAGGGAAGTCACCTGTGAGAGGATCTGGGACAGGTGTCACGGGACACGGAGGCCCTGGACTCCAGTGACATCCAGCCTCCAGTGTGCCTGCTGCAGCTCCCTTCCCGCTGGGAGCCTCGCCCTCCACACGCTCCAGCTCTCCACGTGCCCCCACCAACATTGCCCCCAACTCACAGCTCCTCGGTACCTCCCCCCATCTGGTGCCTCTCCACAGCCCTCCTTCCCCCGAGGGTCCACACCCGGGCAACTGGCACTGAGGTTGGGTTTTTTTATTGGATGGTGAACATAAATAAAAGTAACTGGGCATTGAAAAGAAGGGAGAGTCAGCTATTTACAAATATACAGGTGGGCCCTGGGGCTCAGAAGCAGGTGAGCAGGGCCGTGAGCACCAGGAGGATGGTGTGGGCTGCCAGGCAGGATGCAAAGTTCCGATCAAGGGGCTGCTGGAACCGGGGGCCCCGCTTCTGGCCATCCGACCTATCATGCTGGAACTGCAGTTCTGGGATGATCCGGTGGATCCAGTCATGGTGGGAGGTGACCCGGATGTAGACACCTGGGCGGTTCCGGCGGGCACAGCCCTCACCCCAGCTGATCACCCCAGCCTGCAGCCATGACTGGCCTTTCAGGCACACCAGAGGACCCCCCGAGTCTCCCTGCGGAGGAAGCAGAGGCACTGTCAGAGCCCACAGGGGCCCAAGAGCCAGCAGGTACACAGGTGGACATACACACCTGTCTTCCTCCCTTTGTCCCTTTCAACTCCCTGCCCTAGGAATGTCCTTGCCCAGCTCCCCTCACACCACTGGCTGGTTATTCCTTTTCTTGGAGAGCCCATTTCTTTAGTATCCCCAGACCACCTGCTCCAAGGGGTGAAATATATTTTCCTGGCCCCAACTACAGACCTACTGACTGACTTCCTTAGGTGGGGTTCAGGAATCTGCTTTTCCCAGCTGAATGAAGGCACAGCTCTGGTCTGGACTGTGGGCCCACCTGCTGGGGCCTCATCCGCCTGGCTCCTACCTTGACCTGGGCCTAGGGAGCAGGGCTCAGTCAGCCTCCGGAGCAGCCCATCCCAGCTCCTACCTTGCAGGCGTCCTTTTTGCCCTCAGCGAAGCCAGCACACAGCATGTCGTCCTTGATGGTTTTCAGCTGGAAGCCAGAATCAGCATCTTTGCTATAGAGTAGGTTGCACTTGGGCGTGTCAATGATGGGTACGGCGAGTTTCTGCAGGATTCGAGGATTGGGCAGGCGGTCTAGGAAGGGGCAAGACAGCCAGCAGCTCAGCGGACAGTCTTTCCAAGGACCCCAAGGCCCTGGGTTCTCAAGAACCACAGCTCTGTCCCATACCCACTCCACCCATTTGAGTAGACACTGTGGGTATCAATGTCAACAAAAAGATTGTTGGTTCAGAGTGACCTTCTCTAGACATTTCCCCCATTTTCTCCTCACCCTTCCCCATTACCTTGCTCACTGGGGCTGCCCCAGCCGGTGACCCAGCATTCCATGCCCGTCTCAAAAATGACAGAGGGGTCAGGCACGCACACGGGGAGGATATAATTGGTGAAGGTCACAGGTGCCTCCAGTTCCACCAGGGCCACATCGGCACTGGAGGCCATGCCCTGGTACAGGGGGTTGCTCTCTACCCGCTTCACCCGGGCGTACACGGCGTGCGGCCCAGGCTTCACCAGTTGCCGTGCACCCAGCAGAACCCGGTACAGGGATTTTTCAGAAGCGCTGGTGGGAAAAAGCAGAGAGCTGGTGTGAGGCAGCTGTTCTGGGACTTCAAAGGGGGCGTTGCTGGAGGGAGATGGAGGAGGGAAGAAGGGAGGGAGGAGCTAGTGTGGTCCCTCTGCTGCCACATACCTCCCTCCCGGCCTCCAGGTCCAGTGCCTGACGCCTCTCTGCACAGTATCTTCAAAAAAGTTAATCTTCAGGGGGACACACATCAGGGTGGGGGTAGTTAAGGGAACATAAGCTAAAGCAGCTTCAATTTCTGACTTTCTCAGCTCCACCTCTGGCCATCTGGGTGACCTTGGGCAAGTCACCTATCAAGTTCTCTGTAACTTCATTTCCTCGGCTTTGAAATGAGGACAGTAACAGTCCCTACCTGAAAGGCTTGCTGTGAGTGATGACGGAGATGATCGCCCACAGGGGTGCAGCTGGGGGCCAGCCAACTGGGGGTTGGCCCAGCCATGCCCATGAGCCTTGGGTAAGCGGACTACTCCCTCAGAGCCTGCATTGCTAAATTTAAGATGTGAGATTTTAAAGGAATTGCAGGGCTGTGGTGAGAGGCAAGAGCTTGGGAAACCCTGGAGGTCAGGGGCTCACAGTATGGTAGCAGGGATGGGTGGCCTGGCCCTTTGATCAGGGATGGCATGGGTAAGGAGGAGGAAGCGACATTCTACTCCAGTCCTTGGGCTCATCTGTAACCAGATTCCCAGGTGGAAACTAGAGTGTCCTGGATTTGAGGTGTGGGAGGGGGGATAGGGCCACAGCCAGGGCGTGGGAGGAGCCTGTCAACATTTGCAAGGACAGGGCCCCAGGCCTGGCCTAGTGCCTCACTGGTGAGACCAGCAGCGAACCTCCCTGCCCTGTTTCTAGGAGCAAGGGCTGGGAAGCAGCGATTGTAGCTGGAAGTTAGCCTTGAGGTTGGACCTAAAGGGCGCTCTGGCTAGGAAGGCAGGTCAGTCCTAGAAAGGCTTCCTAAGGGGGAGGTAGTCAGATTGAGAGCGCCCCCGCCAGCCTGTCAGCGCTGTCTGCGGTGCTGCAGCCCAGCTGGCGCTGGGCTTTGTCAGCGGAGCCCCTGGTGGGGAGGGAGGCAGAGCAGAAATGGGCGATCAGTGGTGAGGGAGAGTGTAGGGATTTGGCTGACTCACTTGGAGAAGCAGTGCGCTGCGGTGAGGACCCACCGCTCTGTGATGAGGCTGCCCCCGCAGAAGTGGCTTCCATTTCGCTGGATGCTGACCTGCCACGGCCACTCACCCTCCAAGGCATCCTTCCCGCCCACCATCCGGTTCAGCATCCTTGGGTGCCCGCAGACTAGGGAACACAGTCGGGACAGCACTCACTGGGGGTCAGTTCCATCAGTTGATTCCCTAGCCCAACCCCACAATCCAGCTTCCACTTACTACTCAATTCTGGGCTCTCCCTTCCCCTGACCTGTTTGGGGAGGTTAGAGACCTGGGTATCTGGTCAGCTTCTGACACAGGCAGATCCCTTCTTGTTGTGGGGAAGACCCCCCACCCCCATGGGCCTCATGCCCCTCACTTGTGAAATGGTGACATAATGAGGGTTGAGATAACACATGTCAAGGTCTTATCCCAGGGCCTGACAAACAGGAGCTCCAGGAAGAACAGTGGGTGTTGGAAGGGCCCCACACAGGGTAGGTGACCCCAAGGAAGGCTGTTATTGTTATAGCAGAATGGTCTTCATGTTTTATCCTTAGCATCTTTACTGTCACTTTTTCCTGCCCCTGTCTCTGTGCTTCCTGCTTCAGTGACCCTTTTGTGCTGTCTGCACCATGCGTCAGACCTTCCTCCCGTCTGGGCTCTAGTTCTGCAACTTTTCCTTTGAGATTCCCCATGCCCTGCCCATGTCTTCTGGGTCTCCTTCCCAGGGTGTGTGAGAGCCTTTGGCCAGTCTCGCAGCTCTCAGACAAACCCGTTCCTGTCCCCCCACCCAAGGGCCTTGTTGCTTACCACTCAATGCCTCGGCTCCCTGAGTCCCTGGAAGGGAGAAAAGAGGGGTGATCAGCTAACTTTGCCAAAGTCAGGGTCTGCCCCTCCCGTCCCCACTGCTAGTCAACATGGCTTTCCTCTACTCCATACCCAGCCCCATGAGAACTCAGGACAGTCCACAGAGGGACCAAGCAGGAGAGGCCAAAATTTCCCCACAGACTTTCCCTTCAAGGTCTACAGGCCCAGGCCTATGAGCCAGAGCTTATCTGCAAGGTTGGATAGACTCCTTGCCATACAGGGAGCCAATCAGGAGATGCCAGTGAGGGGAACCCTGTCATGACTTGACTCTACTGCCTGGGGCAGGATGGTTCCTCTTGTGCCCGTGGGGGTCTCTTCCTCTCCACTCCATATGGATGTAGCTCTGGGGAGGATCCAGCCTCCAGCCCTGGTACTTTGGGGCCTGCATTTCCCCCACCAGACAGCCCGGACCTGGGATAAAGGCAGAAGCCCTGGAGCTGCCTCTGCATCTCAGAGGTCTGGGGCTTCTCACCAAGCCTATCCTGAGGAGCAAGTCTCCAATCTAACTTCAATCCTGGGTCTACAGCCCAGCCCCACAGGTCTCTCTCGTCTCAGGGGAACAGAGAGAAGCCAGGCAGCGGCCATCATGGGTCAGTTTTCCCAAGATTCCAGATTCCCAAGAGCTGAGCCCTCTCTCAGGCATTCCAGCATGCTCTGCAGCTGGAGCCCAAGACCCCCTGCTGGGTCGTGGTGCCTTGGGGTGGGGAGTTGAGGGGACAGGCAGAGAGATGAGGATAGGGCATTCTGAGATCCCATCTCTCCAGGATCCATTACCACCACAACCCCACCACCCCCAATCTCTGGACACAGGCATAGGGCCTACTACGAGGCCTTTACAGGAACCTCCACCCCAGCCTTACGACCCCAGCCAGGTCAATGGTCCCCAGTCCAGTGCCAGCAACACTCTGGAAATACCTGCACCTCGAGAGAGAGAGAGGTACCCTCACTCTAGCATATCTGATTCATTATGGGCAGATCCGATCAGAGCTAGGGTCAGGGGCTCAGGTCAGCCTCTTCCCACCTTAGCCCTCAGCATTTCACCTATGCCCCAACCCCTTTTGGGGCCCAAGGTTGGGGCAGCTGCTCTTGAACCTGTCTTCATGCTGACCAGAAGAGGTAACTAGCCCCATGGTGGTGAGGGGCCCTGGGGGAAGAGGCAAACACAGGGCTGAGCCAGGCATCTTCATGGGGTGCCCAAGAACCCTGGAATTTTTTTATGGGATCCCCATTCTTCCAACCAGACTCCCAGTCCAAAAGGTGCACTCCCCAGTGTTGAGGGGTTGTGGTTAGACAATGAAGCAGTGAGCAAGGGTTGCTGTGGATATGGCAAGGGGAGGAGGTGGACACTGGGGGGCTGGGAAGGCACAGGCAGGTCCGGCCACTCTTCAAAGTAGGGGTGGCAAGCAGAAGTGTGGGGGCAAGGGTGGGGTCAGCCCAGGCCAGTGATGGGGACAAGAAGTCTGTCCTGGACATTCTGCTCATGAGTTTGTGTTTACAAGGTGCCCTTTTAAATGCAAATGTCCCCTGAGAGGGCTGTCCCTCTAGCCCCCTCATCTTAGTACAGTATAATTTAGATTGATAGCACCTGACCCCTTGCTCTTGCACGTGATGCTCTGGTTTACCCATCTGTACTTGCCGGCACTAATGTACTTACAGGCTCATTCCCTCCATGTGGGAATTTTCCAGAGCCTTGTCCGGATTCTCCCCACAGTCATCCCCCTTCCCATACATGCAAATGGATCCAGGGTCTACGCCCTAGATCAATTGTGCACACCTGTGGTCCAGCAGGCCCCCCCTTGAGGCTTGGCAGGCTTCCTCACCCCAGTTTTCCTCACCTCTGACCTGTGAGGATTTGCTCACAATACCCCACTGTCTGAAAGCCCTTTCTTCCCCGTCTCTACAGATCCAAATCCAGATCAAAGCCTAACTGCAATGTTGCCTCCTCTAGGCATCCCTCCTTGCTTGCACTGTTCGTCTGGGAAGCCTGGCTCCCTCTCCTGAGCTCTTGGTTCTCCCACCATGCCTCACAGAGCTCTGCCCACCTCCATCACCCTGCTGGAGGTAGAATTGCTCATTTCACCTATAGGCCCAGGAGCTCCTTAAAGGCAGAGCCCACATCCAGAGACCTGAGCCCAGGGAATGCAGAGGGACAGAAGGACAGCGGCTGTAGAGACCTGGGCTCTGCAGAGCGGGCATCCTGTCAGGGGCTGGGTGAGCCAGCCAAGGGATAAGGCCCCTCATTTGGGCCCAGGGCCTATGCTTCTGTAGCTGGTGGAGGGGCTCAGCTGGTGGGAATGGGAGAGGCCTAAGGCTCCAGGAGGGAAGAACTAAAGGTAGGGGTGAGGGTGGCATCGAAGGAATCAGACCTCTGGTCACAGCTGTTTGTGAGTCAAATGCAGGCAGCTGTTTCCACTTTGCCAATGACCTTGATTACTAAAACCTGTGAGGAGCGATCATGGTGTTACAACCCCCGGCAGAGAAGGGCTCCCTCAGAGAATGTTGTTATCCTTGTGCCAGGAGGCCAGGAAGGGAACCCAGGGAAGCTGGCCCTTCTGTGGTACCCCACAGAGGTACCACTTTGGTGCCTTCCAACCCCTGGTAGGAAGCCTGGAGCCATGGCCAAGTTGCAGCCTGGGGTGACTCGGCTTGGCCCTGTGAGGTAACTCGAGGACAGGGAAGTAAGGTGGTGGCAGGGCTGGCCAGGCTGGCCCAGGAATGCGGGAAGGTTTCCCTGGTAGAGAGCAGCCCTCCCCACCAGGAGCGGCCTGGCAGGTGGGGCTCCCTGCTCGTGCCTGCTTACCCTGACCAAGGATTGGAAGACGGGACAGGGGTGCAGGGCCCCTTCCTCCCCATACACTCTCTCTCTAGTGGGAGCAGCAGCTTCCACCCCTGGCCCCCATTCCCCCCCTCGCTCCCCACTGAGTTCCCACCAGCCTCCTGGGGCACCCAGGCTCAGGCAGCAGCTTGGCCACCCCTCCAGAGGCCCAGCTGATGGTGGTCCAGAGATTTGGAGCCCCTGAGTTCAGGTCCTGCATACATGCAGCCTGTGTCTTTATCTGGGGGTAGAGAGAGGCCAGATGAGAGGAAGCAGAGGCAACAAGTCCAGAGCTTGGCCCATGAGCTTCCAGGAAAGGTGGAGGGAGAGGAGCAAAGCCCCTGCTCAGTTCTCTGCCTCAGGGGTCCTCCTGAGCTTAAGCCCACACCTCCAAGCTGTCTTCCCCACTTCACTCTCCCAGGTGGGATATCTGGGCCTTCCCATCTGCCTGGGAGGTCCCACCACTGGGGTGCGGAGGGGAGGCCTATGCTGCAGCCCCAGACCTGGCCAGGAAATTGGGGGCTTGCTAGAGCTCCAGGCAGGGCAAAGGGGGGCCCTCTGGGAGGGCAGAGCCAACCTCGTGCAGCACCCAGGACTCACCAAACCACAGCAGCAGTAGGAGCAGGGTCATGGCCGGCAGCTGTCTCATGATCTGAAACCTGGTTGGGGCACTGGGCCGGGGACAGTGGTGGCAGGAGCTCCTAGAGCACTGAGTGAGGTGCCAGCCTCCATGAAATGGGGTTTTATGCTGAAGGTGAGTGTCAGCTTGGCTATGCTGCCCAACCTGTCAGCCCAGCCCGCCCAGCTCCTCTTGGCAGGAAGGAGGCACCCCAGAACCCCAGCTCCTCCATGACCTGGCCCTGAACCCCAAGGGGCCAGACCCCTCACCCTAATGTGCCTTAGGGTCTTGGGGCCAGGGTGCACCTGCCCCATTTGCACGCTTGTGGCCTGGGGTTCTGCCTGACACCACGAACTGACTACAGACACCCCCCCCCAATTGACCTCAAGCTTTATGTAAGTTGACTGCAGTCCACCCATTAGACCATCCCTGTTTCATTCATTCATATGTTCATTCCTATTTATTGAGCACCTACTACCAAGCATCAGTGAGCCAGAGTCCTGGTTGGGGCTTACACTAATGAGGAGGTGGGGCTGGGAAAAGTCCAGGTCAGTGGTGCTTATGGAACAAAGGAGAGCTGGGGAAGAAATCGGAATGCGGTGTGTGTGGGGGGGGAGTGTCTCCAGCTTACCCCAGTGTCCCTCACGGGCCCTCCCCCCAGGAAACTGGGTCCCAGAAGCTCCCACCAAAAGGCGCCGTCCCAGGACCCGCCCCAGGGTAGCCCCATGCCCGTCCTGGGGGCTGCATCTTCCTCCGGGGTCCGGGGGCGGGTTGGGGGAAGAGGCTTCCGGGAACCTGCTGGCCAGAGCGGGCGGGGCGGAAGCTGCTTCTGGGAAGGCAAGGCCAGTCCAGGACGACCGTCTCCGACGTCCCTGCCCTGGGCGCGGCGGGCCGGCCTCCTGGACTTGCGGCTGCAGCGGCGGAAGCAGCTCGGGGAGGAAGTTATTTGGAGCACGGGGCTGACGTCAGAGCCGGAGTCGGGGCTGGGGCGGCCACACCCCTCCCAAACCACAGGGTCAGGGTGGGGGCGAAGCCCTGGACAGGGTCTGGCGATCCCCTCCAGGCCGGGGGTCGGGAGCGCTGGATGGCAGGCAGAGGCCTGCCTTAGTTTCCCTGCCTGTGCAGTGGATGCGTATGTGGACAGGGTGTGCTGTGGTATGCTGCAGGAGGTAGTGGGAGCCGGCAGCCCCCCAGTCCTCTGGTCTAGGTCTTCGCGGGTGCCCCTGGTCAGCCCAGCCCTCTTGTGGCCACCAGCAGCAGTGCGGGGCGGGCAGGGCAAGATGCGTGGGGCCGAGGTCTCCAGGGAGAAGTGCTCATCCTGGGCCTGGAGGGTGCTCACCCCCCATTCGGCCCTGCCACCCAGGAGCTGGCCCGCCTTCTCCCGCCCCTTGCTTCCACTGTCCCTCCTCAGCACCCCACCAGCGTTGTCCCTGGAGCTCCCTGTGGGCTGTCTGAGAGAGCTGGGCCATCTGTGTGGGCTGCAGGGAGTGAGGGAGCGCAGAGTGTGGGGGAAAAAGGATTCCCGACTCATTCGTTCATTCGTTGTTCGTTCATTCCTTCATTTTGTACGTGTTTTTTGAGCACATTTAGTGCTCCAGTTATGGGAAATATCGAGGTGAACAAAACTCCTCAGTTTACGGTGTGGAAGAGACGGCAACACATAAAGGATGAAAATGTTTAATTACAAACTGGGAAGTGTTTCAAAATGTCTGGGGGACTACATTCCTCCAGACCCCTGATGATCAATTCCCCCATCTCAGAGATGGTTCAGACTCTTTTTAGCTCACTGCTTCCTCTCAGGTGCCTTTCTCAGTTTTCTCTGCTTTTTTTTTTTAAAGCCAATTCTAAGGGCAGCTCTGCCTTAAAATCAAGCAAGCAACAAAAGTCAAGATGTGATCAGAAAGCGACGATGCCAGAGAAAGACGTGCTCTGAGGACCCAGGTAGTCACTCCAATGACTAGCGAAACAGCAGCCCAGGTTTAACCCACATGCTTGGGCCTGGAGCCTGGAGCACCAGGACTGAGAGGGGAGCTGGGCAGAGGGGCCATGTGGGCAGGAAGCCAGATCCCTTCCTCACCCTACCCATCAAACAAATGAAGAGGATTGGAATCCAGAGAGATTCAACTACCTAAATGTGTTTTTAAGAAGTCAATCCCAAAGAGTGAGAGAAGACAGAGAGAGAAGGAGAGAGGGAAGTAAAAAAGAAAAAGAAAAAAAGTCAATCCCTCCTAAAAAATAAAAGTTGATATTTATCAACTCTGGAAGGGGATGCATTTTCTAATGTTGGAAATTACAGTGGACATCACAGAAGAAAGGAGATGTGGCCAGTGGGCCAGCCAAGTGGTGTGTTGGTTAGGAGTTGGCTTGGGACGCCAGCTCTGAGCAGCAGGGTCCCGGTTCGGATCCCACATGAGGGTCAGTGATGCTGCACCCTCTACAGTAAGATGGTGAACAACAGCTCAACCTGGAGCTGGGCTGCTGTGAGTCCCAGACGACGGTGTAGGCTGCAGTGGGGCTGGCCGGCAGCAGGCGTGAGCTTTCGTGAGCTGCTGTGAGCAGCCGTCCAATGGCTGGCGAGTGACTGCCTTACCCGGGAAGAGTGCAATGATAATACCAACATGGGCCAGTGAAGCGATGTCCTCCACAACTGGACTGAAAAACAAAAGGACAGCAACTTGTCTGTTTCCCTTCTCCGATTCCCCAATAAAATCTTAAAAAATAAAAGAAAGATGTGGCCAGTAAGCTAAACAATATAAGCAAAATTGGTTGCAAAATTGAAAGGCAAACTATAGGAAAAATATTTGCAGGATATGTGGCCAAGTACCTACACTGATTTTGCCCAAAGTACTCAAGAAATTGATCAGAAAAACACTGAGACCTTAAAGATAAAATACACTAAGGACACAGACAAGTCACCAAAGAGGAAATCAATTTGGTTAATAGACTTGCTGACAGACGTTCAGCCTCAGTAATTAAATGAATGCAAATCAAAGTCACCTCAAAGAGATGCTGGTTCTCCTGTATGGAGTTAGCATGGTGCTGGAGGAATGCTATTAGTCAAGGCTGTGGGGAAATGGGCCAGCTGGTGGGCATGTAACTGGCACAGCCCTTGTGTAAATCAATTTGCCAGTCTGTGGCTTCAGCTTGGAAATTGCTACCCCCTTTGACTCAATGACTTCACCACTGGAAGTCTAGCCTAAGAGAATAATATAGAAAAAGCATTATGACCAAAGGTGTTAATGGCCAAGTTATTTATACCGTGTTTCCACGAAAATAAGACCTAGCTGGAGAATAAGCTGTAGCATGATTCCTCTAGGATATGGAGGGCACGCATCTCTCACATGAGGGTTTTATGACCTGTTTCGGGGAGAAGGGTGCCTTTTCCACAAACTCCTTCAGCTTAAAATATTTAGTGTGCCAAGGTGCCATATTTTGGCACCTAAAATGCTACTGCTTATTTTCCGACTAGGGCTTATTTTCGGGGAAACAGGGTATTTGCAAAACAAAAAAAGAAAATCAAAATAAATAAACAAATAAAACACTAGTTGGGTGATGGTAAATAAAACATCCTCTGAATAGAATTCATAAAAATGACATTTTCATGAAGAAGGGGAAATGAAAAAGAGACAGGTGTGAATATTTGTAGAAAGTATAATAGCTATGAAAAAAAAAACACCTTTAATTTTAAAGGAACAGCAGCAACATCCAAAAGAAAAGGTGACAGAATGTTCAGCAATGATCAGCTAGGAGTGGTTCTGTAGTCATGTGGATTTCTTTCAAAAGTAGGTGACAGGGGGCCGGCCGAGTGGCGCGATGGTTAAGAACTGGCTTGGGATGCCAGAGAGCCCCGGTTCGGATCCCACAT